ATAATAATTGAAATACTACAGTCACAGTTAAACCAACATCATATCATAAGCACATACAACAAAAAGTGTATTTACCTCACACGGTAATCGACAGTAAAAATAAAAACTTCAATGTATTGTAGGTATTTTACAGTACGAACACAATGTTACATAGTTAAAAGGTAATTACAATTGCGATTGAACAAATAGATAGTGATACGACATGTTACAAAAAGTTGAGGTTAATTTAATTTGACTAATTTTAATACTGATACTTAAGAAACAAAATACAAAGGAAAATCATACTGTTATAATATAGAACATTGACCGTCGTCCATAGACATTGAAGTACGGATCTAAGGTTATACAATAACCAGATAGATGTTTGATAAGTACATAAAACAATTTACCTACGCACGGTAAAGACATTAAAAATAAAAACTTCAACGTGTTGTCGGTATTTTAACAGTTTGAACACAATGTTACATAGTTATAAGGTAATTACAATTGCGATTGAACAAATAGGTAATGATACAGCATGTTACAAAATATAGCAATTTCTATTATATAGTACTTCGACAGTCGTCCATAGACATTAAAGTACGAATATAAGGTTATACAATAACATAATTAATCTTTTATGTTAAATACCGCGACAATATTTACAGTGATCACAGAATTAAATTTGTCTTTTTGATGATATCAGGTGTAACATAAGAAGTAAAACAAATACAAACCTTAGTTTATACATTAAAAGCATTTGGCAGTTTTGTTGGGTGTCATTTTCAAAATGTTTCTAAGGGTTTTCAGTTGTGGTTAACATGAATGAAACACAGAGTGGGAACTGAACCAATAATATCACTGTCGAAGGTAGCAGTGCAGTGCTGTGTTGGCCTGGCATGTTGTGGTTTGTATCTCAATGTTTCCACACAAAACAGCCTAAAAATACAATATACCAGTTAATGAATTTAATGAATAAGCTTATAGTATAATGTAGTTCTTAAAAGAATGAGGCAGAATCAAATTTGTCATTTTGTTTGGTAAAGATACTTTAAGCACAACGTCAGTATATCTTGAACACGGGGTAGTTAAACATTAAAAATAAAAGTCAATGAAATATTTCTGATAATAAATTAACCTGAGAACATGACAAAAATATTAAATTGTATAGTGAATAGTGAATAAGAATAACACATACAACATATAATAGTTCTCAAGTAATAGTTAACAGTGATCACAGAAAATCAAATGCATTAACCTTTATAATGAAGAATATCGAAGTATACTCATGAATATAAGGTTTTACAATAAAATATAAACATTAAAAGCATTTGGTCAATGAAAATAAATTGTTATAAGAGTATTAAGTTATGATTAATACAAATGAAACACATGTTGGTGGTTTTGATGTGTGTGGGAAATGAACAAATTCTAATGCACTATTCATAATAACCTCAGTGTTGTGTCGAGAAGTCTCCAGAAACAAAAAACCTCGAACACAGCTTGATAGACTTGTGACCCATGGTGTTGCACGAACTGCGTCCATATCCGCCGAAACCTAAATGTAAATGTGAATGTGAGTGTAACGGTCATGTTCATTGGGACGTAAATGGTTCATACTTACTTGTGTATAGAAACTCCATGGCGGCATCAATGTTTCCACACCAAACACAGTTGTGGTTAACATGAATGAAACACCGAGTGGGAACTTAACCCATAATATCACTGCTGAAGGTAGCAGTGCAGTGCTGTGTTGGCCTGTCATGTTGTGGTTTGTATCTCAATGTTTCCACACAAAAACACAAAACAGCCTAAAAATACAATATACCAGTTAATTAATTTAATGAATAAGCTTATAGTATAATGTAGTTCTTTAAAGAGTGAGGCAGAATCAATTTTGTCATTTTGTTTGGTAAAGATACTTTAAGCACAACGTCAGTATATCTTTATAAAACCATTATAAAAGTTAATAACACTATTAAGGCAATATTGGGTTTATCTAATAAGGTCTATGAATTTTTTTGAACTCATATTAGTCTAAGTTAAAATGAATGCGTTATACGTATAAGAATATTCTGTTTAGATATTATGTGAACATGAATTGAACACGGGGTAGTTAAACATTAAAAATAAAAGTCAATGAAATATTTCTGATAATAAATTAACCTGAGAACATGACAAAAATATTAAATTGTATAGTGAATAGTGAATAAGAATAACACATACAACATATAATAGTTCTCAAGTAATAACCTCAGTGTTGTGTCGAGAAGTCTCCAGAAACAAAAAACCTCGAACACAGCTTGATAGACTTGTGACCCATGGTGTTGCACTAACTGCGTCCATATCCGTCGAAACCTAAATATAAATGTGAATGTGAGTGTAACGGTCATGTTCATTGGGACGTAAATGGTTCATACTTACTTGTGTATAGAAACTCCATGGCGGCATCGATGTTTCCACACCAAACACAGTTGTTCACCATTTTCCAACAGCCTGAAAATGTTAATTCTATAAGTATGCTGAAAACCAGTTAATTATTTAATTTCAAAACGTTTGACATTAGTTACAAATTCACTTTGCAGTGAATAAGCATCCAGAGAGAACCACGGGGAGGTTGTCAAACTTTCTCTCCACAGGACCACAAAGGTCGGACCACACAGGTCGGACCACACAGGTCGGACCACACAGGTCGGACCACACAGGTACTCGCTGTCGCATATAGCGACGGCTAAACTCATAGCAAATAATTAAAAATTATCGGCATAAGTGATTTAGACTGCAATAACTAATAAGTATTAAGTGTAATTGCACTGCTCAAGTTAAGGTTGAACAAAAACGGCCGATCACAACACGTCTGAATACACTATATTCCTTGTGATAAATCGACCGTCGTCGCCACCGTACATACCAACTTTTATTGATTCCGAGTCCCGCACTCGTGAGAACGCAACGTACAGTTGTCCGTGCGTAAACACCGGGGACGGCAGAAACAAACCAACTCTGTCAAAAGTTTGACCCTGAGACTTGTTGATCGTCATCGCAAACGAAAGTCTCACCGGGAACTGAACCCGACGCATGGTGAAGGGCAGGTCGTCGTCTCCGCTGGACGACAGCGGTATCCTGGGGATGACGATGTCGTCCTGCCCTTCCCCGCGTCCGCCAACAACCTCGCTTTGAAGTTGTTGCGCCTCAGTTCCGTAACCACTAACCTTGTTCCGTTGCACAGTCTGATTTTCGGATCGAGGTTCCGCAGCAGCATGACCACGGAACCGACCACCAGCGTCAGCCTGTACGGAGGAAGTCCGTCGGGCTCCAGCGAGTTCAAAAACTCGGTCGGGTAATTGGCAATCTCGTCCACGTCGTCCGCCACCACCGTGTCTATGGCGGTGTAGGTTCTCGCGGCACCCGTGACGCGTTGCAGCACCGTGCGATTGACCTGTCTACAATCCTCGTTCCGGGGACAGAGAATAATTTTCCGAGCAAAGTCGTCGACGTTAGCCAACGACATTTGCTGCGGGTAAACAAAATCAATCAAATTAGCTATGTCACATACCATATTCCTGGGGATTTCGACGGTGTTCACATTTCCGTCGACCGCGGGCAGCTGGCCGTTGCCGAGTTGAAGCAACCAGGCGGCAAAGTCCGCGTCGTTGTTGGCCCGCATGTTCTGCGTCAGGCTGAAACGCTCGAAGACGTCCCACAGATGGTGGTGCCTGATTGAAGCCGCCACGATCGCGGCCCTCGTCCCCCTGCGGACCACCGGCAGTATCTGTCTGAAGTCACCTGCGAATAGAACCGTCTTACCACCGAACGGTAGTTCCGATTGCATTATGTCCTTTAGCAACCGGTCGACCACCGTCAGTTGGAGCCCCGGAGACATGGGCGCTTCGTCCCAGACGATGAGTGCCGCCTCCCGTATCCTATGCGCGCGCAGAGACTGCATGGCGATGGACGACGTCGAATCTTCGTTGAGTGTACCGAAGGGCAAACCGAACGTCGAGTGAACGGTCATACCACCGTCCATGAGCGTCGCCGCTATTCCCGTGAACGCCACAGACAACACGGATCTGCCCATGTTGCGGAGCGACCATATTAGGCAGCCGTAAAGCGTCGTTTTCCCAGTACCACCGGGCCCGTCGACGTAGAACATTTTCGGGACGTCGCGGTTGTCGTCGACGGCCGCCATCACGCGGTCGTAAACCGCCCGCTGTTCGTCGTTGAGGTTGTCCAACTGCAGAGTCCAACGCACCACTGCGTCGACGAAGGCGTAGACGTCTCCTCCCGCGTCCTCTTCGAGCAGCGCGACGTCCGGATTCGGCAACCCGTAGTCGGCCAGCGTTTTACCGTGACCCCGCAGCAGCCGCCCGATGGCGTCCAGGCACGCGGCTCTCGCGCGGTCCTCGTCTCTCAGTCTGTGGAAGAAGTCTTGCCTCAGGTCTTCCTCGCTTGCCATGTATAACGCCAGCGGATCCGCGGCCTCGCAGTACAGCAGGATCGTCACCAGTAGGTAACGCAGCTGTGCGGGAGTGTCCACGGCCGCGGACTCTGTCATGCACGCCAGCAGGGCTTGGTCATCCTCCAGGAGTCCAAGCGCCACCGCCGCCGCCGCGTAGGTCGGATACACGACCCCGTCGACGGTCCTCATGTCTCTGAACGACTGAGGACCTCTCCTGTGCAGCAGCAGCAGTCGCAAGAGGAATCGCTCTCGATCTAGGGGGTTGACCGCGTACATCCGAGACAACGTCTCGTTGGCCATTACCCTTTGGCGCCGATTCCACCTCCTGTCTCTTTCCACCCAGGTGTAATGCATCGGTATCTCATGGTATAGATACTGTCTGGCCTCGGGGTCCGTCTCGTTGAGCGAGAAGAACGCCGTGAGTCTTGTTCGTGCCAGCGCTGCGTTTTGCACACGCTCCAGTTCTTGTCCCGGAGCGAAGTACACCGTGTGGTAGTCTTCCAGATGGACTGGAAGCCTGATCACCCTGTGACTCGGCTTATGCAACTCGTACGAAAACAGTCGCCAAACTGCTTCTGGCGGACTGACGTACCGAGCATTGATGTAACTGAAACAAACAAAATTCGTTCGATTAATACACAATAATGTTATGAGTAGTGATAATAATAATAATAATACATTTTAATAAATAACAAAAATAAAATTTATATTATACAATTTAACTGCCAGAATTTGATTAGTTCTATTAGTTAGTTTATTTTATATAATACTCTATCTATATAAGTTTTATTAAATAGTATATAGTCATATCATTATACAATTTAATTTTCAGACTTTAATTAAATAGGTACATAAAGTTCTATTTTGTTTATTAATATTGTATTATTTAGAATCTGTAGCAGTATTTGTATGCTACACTAAATTTATATAAACTGTAATATATCAAGTACCTACTACATAGTATGTTATATACTTACTATCTAACCACATAATCGAGCCCTTGTTTAACTCAGATGTATTGATAAATAGCTGTGGATGTCAATTATATATAGTTATTTATCAATTGTCTATTAATTAACTTGATTTTATGCTCATGAATAAACCTACCTATAGTAGTCATATCGATCAATAATTATATATTGTAATATCCTCCATAAACCTAGTTACATAAGTAATATCAAATAGTATAGCCATATCATTATAAAATTTAACTGACAGAATTTAATTAAATACATGAAGATCTATTAGTTTATAATAAATCATTGTATTATATAGTATCTGCAGCAGTTTTGTATCATACATAAAATTTATAATTACCAAATTACATTACCTCAAACAATCAACTCACCTAAAAACTGTAATATATTTAGTACTACATAGAGTATAATTGTAGGTTTGTTATATTACTATTGTCTATTCAAGTATATATTATAGGACTATCCCATATAATCCAGCCCGTGTTAAACAATATATTTGGAGATAATAAAATCAAGTGTTACCTAATTTATTATTTAATAAATAGTTTATTCCATATAATACTCTACCTATATAAGTTATATCAAATAGTATATAGTCACATATCATTATACAATTTAATTTTCAGACTTTCATTAAATAGGTACGTAAAGTTCTATTTTGTTTATTAATATTGTCTTATTTAGAATCTGTAGCAGTATTTGTATGCTACACTAAATTTATATAAACGACTCACCTAAAAACTGTCATAATCAAGTAAATACTACATAGTATGTTATATATTTACTATTTAACCACATAATCGAGCCTATGTCTAACTTAGGTGCGTTGCTCAATAGCTGTGAATGTCAATTAAATATAGTTATTTATATTACATCCATATAGATAATTATATTATGTAAAAAATTTACAATGTCAACTTATAAAAATAATAAAATTTAAAAATTAAATAAAATATTTTTTAAGGTCAGTGTACTACTGTATGAATTAATTATGTAACATTAATATCAAAAACATAGTAACCGAAAAGTAACCATTATTTTATAGTATATTGTTAATTTGCATATAAAAACAACAAACAAATAAATATTTAAAAATATAAGTTGAGTATAAGTGTTTTTTTTTAAATCATAGTAGCAATATTTAAGGAGTTATACATCAAAGTTAATAAAGAACTTTTGTTTCGTTGTCCAAGTATGCTACATTTTTAAAATAACTTTTTTATTTTATTTAGTCGAATTACTTATGAGTTAAAACAGTTATAGTATATGAAGAAATAAATTAACAGATGCTTACTTTTCAATTTCATTTCTGTCTTGGACTTCTACTGT